GGTCATGATTATTATTCAATACATTTGATATCATCATTGACATAACAAACAATTGCATCACCCAGGTAGTAACAATATCAAGGCCATGCATAAACAAAACTCTTAACAATGCCTGTCTACCCAGGTCTCCAGGGTTCACAAAATAAATTATTTTTCCTGATTATCAATTATGGTTGCTCATGAATAATAAATCTGATGTTGAATTGCAGGTGTCAGATTTAATTAAAATTCTCCTGTCACAAACATGAAGGACCGTGCAACTAAGCACAATTCAGCACCATGGATTTTCTTCTCCACAGGTGAAACAGTCCTAAACATGCTGGAAGCTTTGGACAAAACATTCCTGTTCTTCCCTCTCAGACCAGGCTGGTTGTTACCATATGGGCATTGATTGCTGATAGCTGGCATTTGTGTGATTCTTGCATTGTGTTATATCTCTAGAATAAAGTTGGTGTCTGCAATTGGTTCAAAATTCTCCAAATGTTTATTTTGTTGAAAAAAATATACATTGATAGTGTACATTTTCTGTGCTTAACATCTATGTGACTATAAGTCTGGACAAAAGATCCCTTTCTATGAGTTTGGCTGGTATATCTCAAAGGCGTCTCCTGTCTTGTCAGTGGCATGCCTACTCATCAACAACCCTACCCCCATTTAAATAACAAGTTCAGTTGGTCAAACAAAAATTAAAGAGAAGCAGAAAATTTGGGGAATGGTTGATTTATATGGAACATACCAAACAAAATCTGAACCATTTTATTTGACAGCTTTCTCCTTAATCCCAGTGATCATGGTGACTATCACAATAGGAGTGGGCAGAATCAAACTGCCACCTTTATACTTGTGAGATACATGCTCTCATTGAGCTACAATCCTTTAACATAGGGTGGGAGGTTATATGGCAAAAGTTCCCATTTAAAAAAAAACAACAAATTCAGTTGACAAATAAAAATTAAAGAGAAACAGAAAATTTATGGGAATGATTAATTTATAACATACCAAACAAAATCCAATCCTTTTTCTTGTTGGCCATATAGCTGACAAAGATGTATATAATTATGTGATAATTTTAACCTACAGCACAGGGGACTGATTGGGCAAAAATTATAAATTGGTTAATATCAGGGAAACAGAGAATTTATGAAAATGATTATTATACAAAACAAACACTATTTTACAACTTTCCTCTTAACATCAGAGTCCAAATGTAATTTCAGGGCCACCAACCCTGCTCTGAATTGTGACCTCCTGCGCTTGAACAAGCTGTAGATTCTCTTGATATTCCTCCAGAGTTGCAGAGCCATCCTTACCCTAGAGGTAGGATTGTTGCAGATGACTTTTTGGCTAGCATGCCAGCGGCCTTCTCTGGTGAGGGAAGATTAGTAGAAGTGTCATTGACGATTGATGCAGCCTCGGTAAATTCCAGGGCAGAGCGACCCCCCCTGGAATTCTGTTGCATCATCATATCAAAGGGCATCGCAAGTCAGATTAGCCTTGTGTACATGAGGAATATGTGTGAGAATGACTGTAATGTGTTCAAGGTAGTGTGCGTGCTTCAACATCTGTAAATTTTCGATAATCAAACGTCGCATATCGAAATGTTTCTTTTTAAATGGTGTGATGCCTTGACATCTTATAATTATAATAATAGCAATATTATTAACGATTACGCAAAGCAAAATACCAAACGTTTGTTGTTGATAAGGATCTTGTAATTACCCAGCAAGATCTGCTCCGCGTTTTGATTCCAATTAAAATATTTATAAACTAAAATAAAAATATCAATACAAATAAAAAAAAGTACCTCTGGTTAGTTATTAACACGTTTTCTTTAGGAGACCCAAACCAAACCAAACAACAACACTCACATTTTGTCACCTTGGACTCTGTCAAAAAATAAATAATTAATGTGTATATACACGTCGATCAAATCACAAACTTTTTTTTTTTTTTGTAAAAAATGTCATCAAAAAACACTAAAAGAAGACAATCAAAAAATAAAGGAGAAGCAAAAGAGTAAGTGTTTTAAGGGTGGTGATGATGGTCGCCACTCATCCTTACTCTAGTTTATATATAAAGATTGATGGTTACTACTCTAGTTGGATAAGAAATATTCAATTCAAAAAAAATCGTGGTTGTGATCTTTCTCAAGAAAGAAATTAGGGAGTCGAGTTGATTCTATCATAATAACATTCTATGGCAAATCTTCTATTGCTTTAGAATATGGTGGTTCTGAGGTAGCAAAGAACTATGAAGGAAAGAAATCTACAAAATGGCTCTTTGAAGCAGATTTAAAATTGCCAAAGGTTCTCAAAGACATGCTTTTGCTATTAAACAGTCATATTTCTGATATGAAAGAAAGAAGGAAACTCATAACTGTTGGCTACATCCATGGGGGTCTTCAACTTATGTTTATGACTTTAGATAATCCTGCTGGGTATGTTTTCTGTCTTGTAAAAAGTTCATTATACAGTATTCCTGTTTCTTTCCAAAATTTTACAGAAGCACTGGAGTTGATTGCTTCTGTATGGACAATGAAGGTAAATATTTTATTACATTTATTATAGCTAATGATTTTCAATCTTTGAAACTTACAGATGAGAATTTCAAATATAATATCAATAATTAACAAGCAAAAGCCTGTGAAATTTGGTGGCCCAATGATAAAAGGAGCTGATCAAGAAAATCAAAACACTAATATCTCAAAAAAAAGATCTATATCAAAAAATGATACTCCGATTTCAAACAAGAGAATAAATATAAATGATTGATTAATAACTGATGATGACAAAACAAATCAGTTTCAACAATAATATAAGATTAACAATAATAACACAGTTTGCTCTTTTTAACTTTCTTTAATAATCTTTAAAATCTTCAATTTGTTGATTTAAAAATCACATCATTTGACTTCAAAAGCTTTTTTAATTAAAACAAATAACGTTGTTATTATAGTGATGTGATTTCATTTTTATATTTATATTATTGGTTTTATAATAAAATATGAAACAATGAAATTGATCAAAGAAAATGGCAAGTTTTCTTTTCAATTATTCAATCCATTTAATCCAATCCATAATTTTGTACAAAATTGTGCATTTTATCAGGGAAATGGAAACATATAATGTATGTATGCCCTGCACAAATGTGGGTAATTCACATGTAATATGCACTGAATAACATGTATTGGTGTATTAGTATATATTTTTTATACATACAGTCAAACTTCACCATAGCATATTCATGGTGCCAGCCAAAAAAATCCATTGTAACAAGAAATCCACTGTGGCGTGGTCCGTTATGGCAAGGTTTGACCATTTAATATCATATACAGGTATATTAATATATATACATTATTAAATTTTGAACCCTGAATTTCTTGGTAATACAGTCAGGATTTTTTCCAAATTTGGGAAAAAATTAGAGCCTCCATGTTGATCAATTCATATATGTTACAAACGAGTTAACGTGATACTTCCATGCATGTTAAAATTTTTATTTTATTTTAAAATACTCTGTAATGGTTGAAATAAATTCCTCCGAATATATACTCTGAGGATCACCTAGGATCACTGCGAAGTTTACAAGATATAAGAAGTTATTAATCGAAGAAAATTTCATTTTAAGTATAGTTTTAGGTTCACTTTTCACTTTTTTACTTCAATAATGTTTAAGATGATAAAACCAAAAATAGTAATAGCTGCAGTGAATGTCCTTAAGAAAGGCAGAATACTGCAGCTCTATTTTAAAAAAGATATTAGTGGAAAAAATGTGAAAAACATATCAGATGAAACATATTAAATGAGATAAAATAAAGGATCACAAAACTATTTGCAACAAATTGTCAATAATAAGCTGTAAGAAAAATTATATATATATATATATTCATTTATTAATAACTCTATTTGTTAAAATCATAATTTTTTTGTTTATTTAACAACTAACTATTTACTATAGATATAAGAAAATTCAAATTTATTTTCTCAATAATTCACATATATATATATATATACACTCAATGGACAAAGTTTGTATTTACCCAAAAATTATTTTGAGATTTTCTCAAAATTATATTAAATAAATATTTGTGCTCTTTACATCATTTCAAAGTTCTGATTCTCGAGAAAGTTTTTTATTAATAACAAATTTTTTATTTTGCAAAATTTTTATTATGAAAAAATTAAAAATAAATTTGACTTTAAAAATTATAAAATGTATGATCAATTTTTAACAGATAAAATTTTATGTTGTGGATTTGAAGATTCTGAATAATTAATTGATTTGAGGAACAGAAATAATGATGTATTGGATCATCAATTTTTAGTCAAATATTACCAGCAGATGATGAAAACGATGATAGCAGTGATGAAATAACATGTTACTTTGCTACCAAAGTTAAAAATGATATAAATCCATTAGATTGGTGGTGAGATAATGAAAAAAGTTTTCCAACATTATCATTGTTGGCAAAAAAATATTTTTGTGTTCCTGCTACCTCAACTCCATCAGAACGGCTGTTCAGTGATGTTGGGAATTGTATAACATCAAAAAGAACTTTTTGAAAAGAAACATGAAATTTATAATTATTTGTATATTTTTTAAAAAATAATAATCAAATTTTATCAAATAAATAATATATTTTAGTTGAAACATTTACGTTATTTGAAATACTTGTGGTTATTTGAAATACTTGTGACTATTTGAAATATTTATGACTATTCAAAATACTTATGACTATTCAAAATACTTATGGTTATTCAAAAGATTTATGACTATTCAAAAGATTTGTGACTATTCAAAATACTTATGACTATTTGAAATACTTATAACTATTTGAAATAATTATGATCATTCAAAATACTTATAACTATTTGAAATACTTATGATTATTCGAAATACTTGTGGTTATTTGAAATTCCATCCATTACCGAAAATCATCTGATGTGTTTCGAATATTCATAATTCTTTTTGGATATTTGATTATTTGAAAAGGGAGGTTAATGTTCAAATACACAGTCAGGATGTTCGTATTGTCTATTATACGAGGTTATATATGCTCTACGTTGTAAGGCGTCATGAATAGGACCTAGGTAACCACCAATTGGAAGTTGATTTATTATTTTTTGAGTACCGATTTTTTCTTTTTTCTTTTTTTTTTTGATATTTTCTTTATTATCTTCATTAATGGTCCACTAAGAAACAAATATCAAGGTTAAGGTTTTAATTTACATAAACAATTCTTTTTAAATAACTAGAGTGACGACGAGTAGTGGCAACCACCACCACCATCCTTATGATAAACACTTACTCTTTCACTTCTGTCGCATCATTCTTTTTTCTTTTTTTATTGTTAATATATTGTCGTGCAGGGCTGAAAATAGTACTTTAAAAATCAGGATTTTCCTTTAAAAATTTTTAACTTCCGGAAAAAAAAGAATTGCCGGATATTTTTCCTTTTTATTTTTAAGATTTCCAAAAAAAATTATACTAATAATGTATACATATATGTGTGTCACTACTTCAATATTTTAGAAAAAAACCATAATTTGTATCTTTTGAATTTTCAGAAGAAAAGTATTGACTTAATTTAAATCTTATTTCACTGTTATTAAATTATTAAATTTAAAAATACTGTATATACGCTTAAATATAAATTTATGTGTATTTATTTTCCCTTATTCAAAAAAATAAATTATAAATAAATAGTATAGAAAAAGAAGAATTAGATAATTTGACTACTTGAAGCATTTATAGATGAAACAAATATTGATGAATCAGATATAGAAGGTTCAGATGATTTGACAATTCAAGGCTCATATGATGATGATACTTCAAAAAAATCAATAAAAAAAAGTGAATTAAGTGAAACCCATATTAAAATGTCAAATAAAAATTGCATTTTAAAAATCAGGAAGAAGTTTTCATCATGAAGAGAATGTTTTGTACAATTTGTAAAGCACATGGAAAAAAAAAACAATTTGCAATTATTAATTTGCTATAGTGTTGGTTTCCAAAATTAGAGAGTTTCGCAACCATGCGAAAGTCAAAAGATTTCGCCATAAGTCGAAACTAGTT